GAGCATTCCTCAACCACAGAACATGCCCAGAAATAATAGAAATGCCAAATTGTATTGAGATCACCGCTCATTGTGTTCAATAACCTTATAGGTAATATTCACTTTGTATAGCTCCATTCTCTTGAAACCAAGTCTCATTCCTTAATACCTACTTTTCTCCTGCTTAATTGAGTTTGGATACTCTTTAGCCAGAATTTTTCTGGTTTCAAGGGAGGAGAACCAATTGGAAGCAGATAAAGCAAAAGGTGATTTGACTTGCTTCCCTAAGTAGTTATCCCCAGGAATCTGACCTTGGAAGTTGGGATCCAGGAATTCAAATGGCAGCATTAAGACTATTTCTCCATCTCTTAGATCTTTGAGTTGGCTTCACCATGAGGCAGGCTATGTCCAAGCAAAGGCAAAGGTGGCTAGGCTTACGTCACCACTCCGCTTCTTGGCTTGGAGAAAGAACCTATGTGAACCTTTGAAAGGATGCTGACTGGACTTCTGAACCAGTCGCTGTGGCTAGTCTGAATCTCCTGCACCCAGGAAAGAAAGGGAGAGCCTTAACATGGTCTTGTAGAGGTTGGAAGAAGCATCTTTTCCTAAAGGAAAAAAGATGCAGAGCAAGAGGCAAAACAAGCAAACAAGAAACTTACTGGCTACTCTTGAGACCTTATGTGTCTATAATTCTATAATTTACTAGACCTTAATGATTTCCGTAAGTAAAAGACCCTGTGTAACTGGAAGGTTTTTATTTCTTGAAAAGAGTCTAAGAAGGTGTTTCTGGGCCAAATGGCTGCAATGCTTGGAAAGAGCTTTCTCCTCAAGCTCCACCTCTCCAGCCCCTTCAACCAGCTCTGCTGGTGGAAGCCCTGTTGTCATTTAAAGTATTCTTCCATGAGGGACAAAGTGTTATTGAGGAGTCCTATTGTGTGATTTAACCTGTATGGATCTTTTAAGAATGAGTGGACACAAGGGAATTTATTGCAACCATTATAGTATCTGGAATCCTCTTCCTCCTGTCTACTCACCAAAATAGTATCTGCCTCCCCCGCTCCAACTCCTTTGCTCACATGCTGCACACTGTCCCACTTTCTTTCACTGGAAAAGGCAGTGAAGCTGCTCATATATGGTGGCTGCGTGCTTTTATCATTGCTTTTCTCCCCAGAAAGCCCGTACCTGCTTTTTGTACTATGTGGTTGGCAGGAAATTTAAAATCTTTCTCTGGTTCTGCAAGAAACACCAGTGAATGAAGAGGAGAATCCAGTAGATAATAAAGATGATTAGAGCTTGTTGGCAGTCATTTGCTACCAAGGAGATGAAATAAAGCAATTAATTACTCAGAGACATCTAAAGAGCAACTGGTAACTGGTAGGCATTTCTTTGTTCAATGCATTTGAAATCTTAGCTAGCTAAATTCTGCCTCAAAGAATTTTTCCTTTTTTTTTTTCCTTTTGGGTCTAATAATAAAAGTATTAAGGTCATTAACAAAAACTGAAAATGTTTTTCTTTTTAAACCTCTTGTCTTGGGACAGTTGGATGGCTCAGTTGTTAAGCATCTGCCTTTGGCTCAAGTCATGATGCCAGGATCCTAGGATACAGCCCCGCATTGATTTCCTCCTCTTCCATTCCCCCTGCTTATATTCCCTCTCTCATGGTCTCTGTCAAATAAATAAATCTTAAAACAAAATAAAACAAAAACAAACAAACCCCACTTGTCTTTATTACTTCACTGGCTGAACAAAGTCACAAATGTCATACTCAAGTCACAATGAATTTGCTGAAAATCCGAATGTGTATAACTGCTGGAGCATGGTGTCATGGTAAGTTAAAATCATTGAGAACATATTTCTTTTTTTTTTTTTTAATTTATTTTTATTCATTTGACAGAGAGAGAGAAAGATCACAAGTAGGCAGAGCAGCAGGCGGGGTGGGAGGGGGGGCAAGGAAGCAGGCTTTTATCTCCCAAGCAAGACAATCAACACTGAATTTCATTTTTAAAAGAAAATAATTTTAATAGCATCTCGATATATTTCTTTCCAGAACTTTTCCTCATTTTTGCGTGTACAAGTGTTTCATGTCAGTAAACAACATTCTACATGGAGCTTTGTAGAGTCCTCAGATATTTTCCTTAACATAAACCCTGTGGAAAGAAACAAACTTACCAACTTCCCTGTCCCAGACTCCAGCTAGGTACTTGACAAGCCAATCTCATTAGTTCCCTGATCCTGGGTTATTAGAGTAGACCCCCCTTATCTGTGGTTTCACTTTTCACTCTGTTACTCTTGGTCAGCAGCCCTGTGCAAGCGGACAATCCTGACTCCTCTCAGGTCAGTAACAGGCTAACACTACATGACAGTGCTGTGTCATTCACCTCACTTCATCTCATCATGTAGGCATTTTATCATCTCACATCATAAGAAGGGTGACATTTTGAGACGCCATATTTACGTAACTTTAAATATATTGTTATAATTCTATTTTATTATTGGTTATTCTTTTTAATCTTTAACTGGGCCTAACTGGTAAACTTTATCATAGGTATATATGCATGTATAGGAAAAAAGAGTATATATAGGAATCGGTGGTATCTGCAGTTTCGGCATCCACTGAGGGTCTTGGAACATACTCCCTCGGGATAAGGAAAGACTACGGTAATCTCATTTTGTTGATTTGGAGATAGAAAGGAGTGTCAGTTGCTCCCCTGGTATCACAAAGTTTTCTAAGGTAGGTCCATCTAACTCCATACCTTCACTTTTTCAAGGACATCATATTTTTGTTCTGTTTCAACATATGGTTAAGAGCAGTGTCTGGAAGGACACGGTCTTCATTTAGGACCAGATCCACCACTTATTTGCTATAGGATCTCAAACAGTTAATATTTTCCTCTGTGCCTCAGTTTCTTCCTTTGCGAGAAGAGAAACACCACACATAGGTCTTATAGAGTTGTCGTGGTGATTAAATGAAGTGTAATACATGTAGACCACTTAGAGTCTGACCCACAGTTACCTTTGTAATAACCGTCAGCTGTTGTTTATGTATTATTATTACTGTCAGTGTTGTTATTACCATCATCATCACTACAGTTTTTCCCCAAACATCCATGTCATTCTCAAATGAAGGGTGGTCTGGATGACTTCACGCAATGTCTAAAGTTCATTCTAATACTATTATTACATTTTTGTATTTTCTCACCTGTATTCTCCTGGACAGGGTAGAGAGATGTTTTAACCAGTATCTTTTCTGACTTATTTTGAGTATAACAATCTGAATTAAGATGCTGCTGAAGGACACTGCAGATTTATACTGAAAATGCAGCCTAATTGTTGACAAAGGTTTTCATCTCATTTTCCATTTCTCTCTCCTCTGTCGGTTGCTGATTTCTTTCTCTCACTCTCTCCTTCTTTCTTTTTCTAAACTCAGGGTACAACTAATCCTTCTGGAGGGACCTCTGCAGAATTCTTGATTGCAGGAGGTTTAACAAAAGTCCAAATTTATAAGGAAGGAAAATGAAGCAGATGAATTTTCATTGTAAAAGAAAAAAAAAAAAAAGAATGCCTTGATGATATATTTGTTTTTCTTAGTAAGCGTCTGTCATTAAGATGCATGCTTGAGGATATATTGCTGTTAGACCTTGTGTGGAACAGAAAGTTATTACTCATAGTTTCCCAGATCTTAGCCCACTTGCATCACAACATGGGGTATCATTTTACATTTAGATTTGCAGTTCCAGGGCCATTATCAGATTGCATTTTCATACTGAATTACAAACAAAAATTTTATGTTACTAACACTTAATGAAATTTTAATAAGGTTGTGTTTTGATGCCATTATTCAAATAATGTGTTTTGAATTGCTTTCCTTTGAATATATTTGCATTAAAGAGGAACTCAATTTGATTTGGTTCTTTGAAGTTTTCCCACTTTCTGGGCAGCTTTAAAAAGACAAAGTAGGAAATTCAGTTTCTTCAAGTCAGTAAATAGAAAAGGAACCCATTTGCTAAGATCTGCAGAAGTAATAGCAGCAGACTGCAGATGGCTTCAGATAATGACTCATGTTGGCTATTAGAGCTGCACAATTAAAAATATATATGTAAAGTGCACACATCACAGATTATGAGGAATGACACTCCTGGGTTCTCTTTTCTTTCTCATTGGGCCCCAAGGCTAAGATATTAAAAATTAAGAAAATTTAAGAGATTCACATTATGGCGGTTCTTGATCGGTGATGCCCAAAATTAGATGGGGATCTCTTGAGGGATCACGTTTCTGTTTGCAGCCCTCTTCTTAGCCACTTCTGCTGAAATTGTGGTTGCGGGCCCAAGGCAGTTTACGTGAGCAAGTGCTTTCCAAAAGACAGAAGCGGGAAGACCTCACTGTAACGTGCTTTAGGGGGTGGTTTTGTCCTAGCTGTCGAGCAGAGGGGGTTTAATGCATAGACCGTAAATACTGAAAAGAGTGAAAACGCGGTTAAGAAGAGTCCTGGTTGCAAGGCAAGTTTGCTTTTTTACCACTCATTTTTTAGTCAACTCTTAGGGGCTGGCGGGTGAACGGTTGTGAGGGTTTGAACCTGAGCCGAGGGGAGGAAGTGATCTGGGTCTTTTATTCTTAAGGTCGTTTTGTGTAGGAGGAAACGCTTTTGCCTCACTTTGACGCTCTCACCTTCCTCTTCACCCTACTTTCCTCCCACTTTCAGACTTTTGAGTTCCCTCCATCTAAAATATTAGCGATTTTACCACTCTTAATACTCACTTTCTGCAGTACTTGCCGGGGAGTGTGGTCCTGAACTTAGCCGCAGACTTACTTAGGAGTTTCGGTCCCTGTTCTCTGGGTGGTTTGGTGAGGACAACGCTCTAAATTACAAGGAGAACCACCGCCGCGCCGCCGCCGCCGCCGCCGCCGCCGCCGCCATCCGGCAGTCGCCCCCGACGCAACGCGCAGTCTCCGCCGACGCAGGCGCAGTCTCCGTCATGCAACGCGCGCCCCCTCTGGCCCCGCCCACGGCCGCCCAGACGTGCCGCGCGCCAACCCACAATTCCCGCTCCCCGCTGCGATCTTGCAGCCGCCGCAGCCGCCGCAGCTGCAGCCGCCGCCCGTTACGGCTCCCTCCGCCAGGGACATGTTGCAGAAACCGAGGAGCCGGGGCCGCCCTAACTCCCAGGCGGAGAGGGAGAGGGACTGGGGCCACGGCGCCGCCGAGGAGGCCCCGAGCACCTCCCGTGGGGCGGGCAGCTCCCAGGAGGCCCGGAGCTCTTCGTCGCAGGGTTCCCGCCGGGCCGAGGCCTCCCCGGAGGTGGGGCCCAGGTCCCAGCAGCAGCTGGAGCTGAAGGTAGCCGAGCTGGTGCAGTTCTTGCTGATTAAGGACCAGAAGAAGATCCCGATCAAGCGCACGGACATACTGAAGCACGTCATCGGGGACTACAAGGACATCTTCCCGGACCTCCTCAAACTGGCCGCCGAGCGCCTTGAGTACGTCTTCGGGTACAAGCTGGTGGAACTGGAACCCAAAAGCAACACCTACATCCTGATCAACACCCTGGAACCGGTGGAGGAGGATGCGGAGGTGAGAGGCGATCAAGGCACGCCCACCACCGGCCTCCTGATGATTGTTTTGGGTCTCATCTTTATGAAGGGCAATACCATCAAGGAAACGGAGGTCTGGGACTTCCTGCGTCGCTTAGGGGTGTACCCCACAAAGAAGCATTTAGTGTTTGGGGACCCAAAGAAACTTATTACCGAAGAATTCGTGCGGCAGCGTTACCTGGAGTACCGGCGGATACCCCACACTGATCCCGTAGACTATGAATTGCAGTGGGGCCCCCGAGCCAACCTGGAAACCAGCAAGATGAAAGTTCTTAAGTTTGTGGCCAAAGTCCATAATCAAGACCCTAAGGACTGGCCAGCACAGTACTGTGAGGCTTTGGCAGATGAGGAGGCCAGAGCCAGGCCAGAGACAAGTGGACCAGCCCCCTCCTCTTGAAGTCTCAGACAGATTCTGAGGGGTTCTTGGGGAAGGTCAAAGGCACTGGGTGAAGGGGGTAGGGGTTGGAGGCATATTTCTGTAACGCTTAAATGTGTGTGGCTTTAGGAGGTGCTTGCAAACCTCTGTTCTCTTTTAATGTTGTCACTTATTTGGTTCCAACTTCTCACTTTTAAAAATATTAAGAGAGGATTTTTGGTTTGATTTGTTTTACCGCTGTATATTTTGGCATAAAAGTTTTCGTAACATTATACAACTGATTGAAAAATTTTAACCATGATCTGGAACAGGTATTTAAAAAAGAACACATCGGTGAATTGTTTTGGCGCCAAGAAAATAAAAGCGAAGTGGATATAATCTGGTCTCTTAGTAGTTTGTAAGTTAAAATAAAACCCTTTATAAATTAAAAATAAAAATGTAATTGTCTATATCCTTTTTTACCTTAAGACAGCTATTTTATATTTATATATTTCCTATGTATATAAGCATTATGCATCATCTAAGTAATGTACATATTGTATTTTCTCTGAATAGCAATTTTTTAATATTCATAATTATCAGTCAGCTCTGTGACTAATCACTTAGTGCCATTTAGTTTTTTTCCTTCCCCCCCCCTTTTTTTTGCTGCTATAGTTGTAATAAATACTGTATCTTTGAAGCAATTAAGCATTGTGCATTTTAAAATCATGGTTAATGAGATACTAATTTCATGACTCAAAAACAGCATCTTAAAAACTTTTTTCTTGATACACACTATTAAGGTAAATAATGTTTTGCAGAAGTTAGCTTACTTTTATATGGGTGCGTACATGTTGGATCACGATCTAAAATAGAAAAAACATTTCTTGGGGCTCCTGGGTGGCTCACATGGTTAAGCATCTGCCTTTGGCTCAGGTCATGATCTCCGGGTTTTGGGATCAAGCCTCATGGGGAGTCGGCTTCTCCCTCTGCCTCTCCCCCTGCTTGTGCTCGAGCTCTCTCTCTCTCTCTCTCTCTCTCTCTCTCTCTCTCAAATGAATAAATAAAATCTTTAAAAAGGAAAAGGAAGAGGGGCACCTGGGTGGCTCAGTGGGTTAAAGCCTCTGCCTTCGGCTCAGGTCATGGTCCCGGTGTCCTGGGATCGAGCCCCACATCCGGCTCTCTGCTCTGCGGGGAGCCTGCTTCCACCTCTCTCTCTGTCTGCCTCTCTGCCTACTTGTGATCTCTCTCTGTCAAATAAATAAATAAAATCTTAAAAAAAAAAAAAAGGAAAAGGAAGAAAATACATTTCTCATTGGGTACAAAAAAGTAGATAGAACTGTTAGTGATTAACCATGCCCACTTGGGAATCACTACCTTGTTCAGATCCAGGCTTCATGTAACTAGCTCTGTTAATTTAGGCAGGTTATTTGTATACAGATGTTTCCTCACCTGTGAAATGAGCTGATGATGCTCATGCTATGTGTGATAATGTAATTAGATTTTAGAAGTATATGCAAAGTTCTTGGTACAAATGCCTGGTGTGGAGGATTTTAGTTGTTAACTTTGTTCCTTACCTTTTTAAATTTATTTTTTAATCTTGGGTCTACAGTAAAGTTTTTGTTTGTTGTTTGTTTTGTTTTGTTCTCAGGTTTTCTGTCATTATCTTCTCAATCACAGAGTAGGAGTTACTGGTTCAAAAGTTATATCAGTATTCTTCTAGCCTGACTCTGCTGTCTGGTGCTTGGAAAAATGTAACTCCTGGTATATTGTGAGTACAGCCCATATGAAGTAGAGCAGGACAGACAAAAGACCTATTCTGGGCCTGAGAGCTAACTGTATAGTGAAAGGGTATGGGTTTTGAGGTTGTCTGACAATTTGAATTAGGGCTGATGCTATGTCAGCATGGTGATTTGGGGTAGATTTTAAGTTCTTTCAATCTCATTTTACCTATAAGATGGGAAAAACAGTAACTATATCATAGTTTGTTACATAGATTAAATGAGTCCAAAGAAAAGAGCTCCTGGTCTCCCATTGTATTCCTCCTTAGCCTCTGGCAAAATGCTGTTTACAGTCAGAGATTCAACAAATAATTATTCAGTGGGTGAATAAGTGATTGTTTGAAAAGCTATTACAAATTAACCCTGAAATGAGATAATTTACTTTAGCTAACAACAACAACAACAAAAAGTGCATTTGATCAGCCCTGGACTAAATGAACCCTAGAAGGGTCTATGGTGGGTTTGTAGCAGTATAGAAGAATGTGATAGGTTACTGTGTTTTATTTCATTCTCTTGAATTAGAATTTGCATTTATTTCATCAGTGGAATATAATTGGGCCTTGAAGGCATTTTTCTTCTTGGTTTGCATTTTATTTCAGTGTATAAATTACCTTGTGACTGAGCATCCTGCTTACCGGTCCCCTACCTCACTGACTGAATCCCCTTCTGGAGTGTTTTAGCACTGGTATTTTCACCTGTATGATGAAAACTGTCCTGACCCAGAACCCGCTATCAATTCCGTCTGAAACAGATCTCTTCTCCCACTCCTATACTTTTATATAGAGATGTTAACAACTTACCTTTAAGGAATTACCATTTTGCTTCAGATTTTATCTTTTTTTACTTTTTTCAAATTTTTATTTATTTTAAGGAATCTCTACACCCAACATGGGATTTGCACTCACCACGCTGAGATCAAGAGTTGCATGTTTTCCTCCAGAGCCTGCCAAGCGCCCTCAGATTTTAAAATGTAAAACATTACAGGCCAGATGAAGCCCTCTGTCTTTTCTTTTTACCCTTCCCAGATGGTCAAAAGTTTGTGGACATCATTCCATGGTATGACTTAACACTTTTACCCACCCCCCACATACGTATATGAACAATATGTAGTATTTTGTGAGCTTCTATGACTTATATAGGGCGTATTATACTATACTCTTGCAACTTGCTGTTTTAACTCACCTTGTTCAGCCACAAAGGTCTGATTTGTTCTTTATAGTTGCTCCTTCATATGGAGAAAAATTAACAGTTTATCCATTTCCTAATGGTTGGGCAGGTCCTTTCCAATTTTTTGCAATTTGCCTGCAGCGTATAGCACTTCCTTAGGCACATGTGAGTTTCTCTAGTCAGAAATAAATAGAACAATCATGGGGCATTGCCAGATTGCTCTGGAGCTTGTGTTAAATTACAATTTGCCAACATTGTAGAGATCTTTTTCACTGACCCCGCCCTTACGAAAATTAACCGTTCCAGCCCTACTGTGGGTATGTAGTGATGATTTGCTATAGTATTAACTTGCATCTCTAGTTTACTAGTGACATTATCTTTTTTTTTGCCATCAAGTTTTATGTCTGTTAGACTTTTTCTATTTTTTGATTGATTTGTTTGATTTCTTTATATGTTCTGCATATTAATCCATTGTCTTTTATATCTAGGGCAAATGTCACATTTCACTTTTTTTTTTGGTCATACAGATGATTTAGTTTTAATGTGTCAAAATCATCAATGTTTTATTTTTAAGGGCTATATTTTTTGTGTAGGGCTTTAGAAAATAGTCTCCCTAATGCTAGTAAGTGTTAAAAATGTTTGACTTTCACATTTATGTTTTTAATCTGTTTTTGCATATGATATGAGGTATGGATATAATATTCATTTTTTTCTATATGGATTGCCTAGCATCAACTTCTCATAGTTTATCCACACTGATTTATAATATGCTCTCTATAATATACAATATTTCACATACATATAAATTTTGGCAGGGACTAAATTGATTTATATGATTTCCTATCCCTTTGCCAATACCATGCCATTTTAATTCTATAGCATCATAATGTAAGGGTTTTTTCTCCTTTTCAATTCTTACAGCTCTTATTTTGGTCTTGACTTATTTGCATTGGCTTGGAACTGCAAACATTCTTGAAAAGAAGTGGCAACATCAGGCCTCAAGGATGTTCCTGATTCCTTGTTCCTGATTTTAAAAAAATCATTTTTAAGATATTGTATTAACTATGTTTGGTTTCAGTTTTCTTTCCCATAAATATCCTTATTTGTATTTTTAAATATCCCGCCTGTTCCTAGCTTGCTTAAAGATGTTTGGAAAAATTATGAATAGTTTTTTTTTAAGTTGTATCATATTCTTTATTAAACTGCTAGATGATTAAATTTTTGGTTTTACTCTGCAATTTCAGTATACTTTTTAACGTAGGTTAGTGTAGTAACATTGATAGGTTTTTCTGATACCTAACAATCCTGGGACAAATCCTTCTTGTGGATGATACATTTTAAAACAATTGTTTTTTTTTTTTTTATTTGCTAAAAATTTATAAATTGTATATTTTGGGTCATAAGGGGAATTAGTCTATAATTTTCCTATATTGTATTGCATTATTGGCTTTGAGATTACATTTTTTTTTAATTTATACCCATACTTACAGAAGAGTTGTAAGCACAGTGCAAGGAATTTTTATCCCCTCCCCCACCAGATATTTGAGCACATTAGTTATCATGTTTCTTTAGTCTCCTTCAGTCTGCAAACAGTTCCTCAGTCCTTCTTTGACTTTGATGATCTTGACACTTGAGGACTACAGGCTGTTATTTTGTAGAACATCTGCAATTGTAATTTGTCTGCTATTGCTTTTATGATCAGATTCAAGTTATGCATCTTCAGCAGGAATACCATAGAAGTGATGCTGTGTTTTTCTTTTTGGATCCTATCAGTGGCACAAAATTTCAATTTGTCCTGTTGTTTGGTAATTTTGATCACTTTGATTAAAGAAGGTTTTGTTTTGTTTACCATTCCCCTCCTCTAAAATTATCTATGCTCCTTTGCAATAAATGAGTAAGTTATGTGGGGAGATACTTTGAGACTTTGTAAATAGTCCTCACCAAATTTTCAATTTATTCGTTGTCTATTTCTATCTGTGTAGACGCACGAGTTATAATCTCTTACTATCATTATGTCTTTTGATACTCAAATCATCTCTGATTTGGCCAGTGAGAACCTTTTTAAGCTGATTTGTGTGTCTTCAGCATGCTCCCATCATTCTGAGCACTTCTCTACTTTCCAGATCTATTATCTACTGAAAACTGTTCAGATTACATTTATAACATCATTCCCATTGTAACACCATAGTGTTCTTCTAGTCCCCCGCCCCCATATTTGTACCTATCTTTTCTCCAGCAATGAGTAACTCAGATTCTATTATCCTTACAATGTTGATTTGACCAATCCCCCTATAAGTAACCCGTCTGCTATTGTGGCAGCTACCCCTTCCCGCATGGGGGATGCCTTCTGCTCCCCTGTGCTGAGCTCACATCCCACAGGAACTGCCTTTCTCTGGGCATACACCCACCTCTCAATTCTTGGGCTCCAGCTCCCTCCTGGGGCCCTTGTCTTTCACTCCTTCCCCATATATATCTTGCTCTGTTCCACTTCATGGCTTTGGGACTGAATTGCCCAAGAAATAGAAAACATTTTTCTATTCTTGTAAATGAGTTGGGCTGCTCTTCTTTTGTTATATTATAGGATTACATGTTTTTGAAAGTTTTGAAGAAATCCCCCTGTAAAAGATTCTGGGCCTGGTGTTTTTGGTAGGTAGATTTTTAATTCCTAATTTTATTTCAATAATGGGATGTTCAGATTTTCTCTTCAAATTA